TAGGAAGGTGTCTGGAGACGTAGGTGAAGCTGTGGATGTACGAGGGGAGATGGCGAGCAGCGAAATCGACAAGGGGCATTCTCCTGAGCGACCTAACCACGTCTTCATCGTCTCCAATCGCTGCGCCAGCTTCTCGTCAAAAGAGGTAGATGTTGAATCACGAGGGCGTTTGGGCTCGACAACGTGGAGGCTGGCCCAAATACGGGGTGTCGAGAGCGATATGGCTCTCCACGAGCTGCAAATGCGGCCCAGGAGAACAGGCGCCTCGCGGGCACTCATAACACAGTTTCGGTGGGTAGGGATGCAAGCCACGAGGATTTCCTGGATTACATCGAGCGGTAATCGCCGGACAGGAGAGATGAGAGCCTTGTGGGACTCCACGTAGGCATCAAGGCTGGCGCGCTCTTCTGCCAGTTTGTCGATGGCCTTCTGCAAATCGGCGATTTCATCGTCAAGACTCTGCATTCGGAGGGCAGGTTCAACGATGAGAGATTGAATCTCTGTTATCTCTTCGTCCGTAGGACAGTAGTTGGTCCCTAGCTTGGAGGAGAACGGGGAGAACGGGGAGGACATGGGCGTTGAGAGCGTGTCGGTAGTGGCGGTGCCTGTCATTCACACACGATAACGTGACCCCATCACGTTCGCGGAAACGTTAACTGTTGCAGACACAGAAACTGGTGCCTTGACTTTCGAATTCACCGGTGCGCAGAAAAAAAGAAGAAGACTCCATTGATGAATCTGGGACCCGAAAATATGTTGGTCCGATTCTGCGCGATGCACAGAACGAGCTAAGAATGATTCCAATGATTGGCGTCGTCTGGGTCGGGTTCAAATCCACACCACTTCAAGTTCCTGCTTCTTTGGCGCATCGTCGGGATTAATTATGGAAGTTGCTGAGTGCATGATTTTGATGAATTCTATAAGAAACAGAAGTGCCCAGGCCTCGAAATCAAGGTAGTGTTCTCAGTAAATCCGCCGTCGCGCGTGGGGGGATTGGAGAAGTCGAGCACAACTAGAAGTGTTTGGGCGAGCATGGTGGGAATGTGAGCGTAGAACCGTGCACAACGATGCTTCAACTCTCGTCCCAGAGACTAGCCTAGTAGTAAAGAAGTAGCGGCACGAACAGGAAGTCGTCTGAAATGAAGCGCCCAGCGAAGAGCGAAATAAGTATTTATTCGTAGTCTCGGTCCTGATGCTGCAAACTCCGAGTCGGCGGGCCGTGCAGAATATAGTTGAAGCCACGCACTACGAGTCGCTGCCTTCTGGGCGAAAACTGGTTCCTTCAAGAAAGAATTCGAACCAGAAATCACGCCGCTCACCGAGAAACTCGGAATCGGAGTCGGAGTCGGAGGCAGAATACATATGGCCCTGGAATCCTTCGTCAATTACGCACGAATGTCAACCACAAGCTCGAATCTCTGTCATGTACCGTCGTTTTGTTTTCTCTCACCATCTCCGACTCCGAGGCTCCTGTCGCTTATTCCTACTCCTCACTCGCCATGATGGCTGGTATCGCCATTCGGCGATGGCGGGCTTGGCGGTCAAGTTAGATGCCAGTGGAGTTTCCGAGCCGGAGCTCGCTTCTAGACGTCCGACCCGTAAGTATCCATCTTCCAAACCCAGACTCCACCGAACTCCGGACAGGGTATACGCAGGTTGAGCTTGGGCGCCAGGTTCATCCAGGTATTCCGATTCCACTCCACCCACCAGGTACCGATTCGATTCCTCTGGATTTTCCAAAATGAACGACGAACTTGCGCTGGACAGATATTCCAATAGGTTATGCTTCCGCTGGAGTGGAATTAATCTGGCATTACGGCATGAGGCATTTGGCGTGTCAAGGTTTCGTCGAAATTAAATTGAACGCAGCAACAGGCTATTGTTGGAATATTGACAGGCGGGAGTACCTTTGTTACCAAATAACCATTGTGACACAATTTTTCGAATCGGCGGAGATATGTAATGGAATTCGAGGAGCTTGAAAGAAAGAGCCATCGCGGCAAAAGGGGTGGTTGCAAGCCCGACGTCGTTGGACAAAAAGGCTAGTCTTCCCGGTCCTTCCGCTGGATCTAAATCCAAATGCACAGCTAGCCTTTGAAGGCTCTGGAAACGAATCGCTGCGACGTGGCGATGGCAAGCTTGATGGGGCAAGGATTACAATGGTACTTGGCTGGGCATCTCACAAACATGCTACAATACGGTCGGTTGATATTCGCGTGCACTGCGTGTGGAGCCAATCGTTGTTCGTCGCTTTTCTCCTCCCTCCATCTCCCTCCCTTTTTTTTCCTCTTCCGCCCCTCCTCCCACCACCATGAAGTCCGCCTTCGCCACTCTCTTCTCCGCCTCGCTCATCGCCTCCGCCGCCGCGCACGGGTGGATCGGCAAGATGACCATCAACGGCAAGGCCTACAAGGGCAACGAGCCCGTCGAAGAAACACCCGTCGGCGCACCCTCCGCCATCCGCCAGATCGCGAACAACCTCCCCGTCAAGGACCTCACGCTCCCCGAGCTCATCTGCGGGCGCGCCGCGCTCGCCGGCTCCGTCGTCGCCACCGCCCCCGCGGGTGCGACGGTCCAGCTCGACTGGAACACCCTGAACCCCGGCGGGAAGTGGTTCCACGACGTCGGGCCGATGATGACCTACCTCGCGAGCTGCGGCACCAAATCGTGCGCGGATTTTGATGCGAGCAACGCGAAGTGGTTCAAGATCGATGAGCAGGGTCAGGATGCGAGCGGGAATTGGGCGCAGGCGAAGCTCGGTGCGCTTTCCTCCTTCCTACCTTTGTTTCTACTTTTTACCCTAATGGATTTCTTCGCGCTACTCAGACACCGGCGCCCCCGCGTCCGTCACCCTGCCCTCAAACCTCAAGGCCGGCAACTACCTCCTCCGGCACGAGATCATCGCGCTGCACACCGCCCAATCCGTCGGCGGCGCCGAGTTCTACCCCAACTGCGCCCAGCTCACCGTCACCGGCTCGGGCTCGGGCGCCCCCGCCGCGAGCGAACTCGTCACCTTCCCTGGCGCGTACAAGGCGACGCACCCGGGGATCTTGATCGATGTGTACAACATGAAGGGCGCGTACCAGTTCCCCGGCCCCGCCGTCGCTGCGTTCGTCTCTGGCGCCGCCGCGCCCACCAACACCGCCAAAGGCACCGCCGCCTCCACGAAAGCGGCAACCACCAAAGGCGCAGCCACCACCTCGACCAAAGCCGCCTCGACGCACGCGGCGGCGGCTACCTCCACGAAAGCTACCACGACACACACCTCCACGTCCGCCTCCCCCGCTTCGACCAAGACGTGCAAGAAGACCCGGCGCGCGCGGCGTGTGCTCGCCGACGTCGAGGCGCCTCTGCCTGTCCTCGAAGCAGCACCTGTATTCGAAGCAGCACCAGCAGCGGAAGTTCGCCGCTCGCGCGCCCGCCACCTGCACCGCGTCGTCCCGCGCTCGCTTTGAGCTCCCTCTTCCTCTTACGCATAAAGATGCATGACCACCACCACCGATGCACGACCCCACCCCACTGCCACCCCACACCCAAACCCACCCACACGTTCCTTCCCACCATCTTTCCCCTCACTGTCTTTTCCTCTGCTCTGAATGATTCTCGATGCGACCTAGTGTCGTATCCTGCTTCTTGATTGCGACATACCCAGTGTCTGTCACTTGCATCCACCTTGTATCCGACCCAGCGTCGTACCCAGCATCTAGTCATGCTCTCCGACCCAGCGTCGGCCCCTTCTTGCCCGAGGCCCAGCGTCTCATCGAATCGAATCGAATCGCCCAGCGCGATGTGATGTGTATATCTCTATCGTGTATCTATGCTATGCTATAGATAGAATGAATGATTTCTTGATGAACTTGTTTTCGTTCGAGTTGAAGTGGTAGTGGAAGCGCTAGTGACGTGATTTGGCGATGTCGTGCGGGATTCGGCGGAGGTGGAATGTCCGGCGCAGCGGAAGCCTGAGTGGTGCGGCTCATTCGAGGAACTCGGGGAAGCAGTTTTAGTCTTCTACTTTGAATATCTCGCTTCGAATATAGTCAAGTACTATACGCACCTATCCACGCGCTAAGGAATAGGAGTACGCTTCTCGGCGTTTGCTATGATGTAACGGAATCGAGCCGCGTTGATGATGATTCTGCGAAGAGAAGAGAGCTGCAGCATGATGCAGGTTCGCGGATCCGGACTTCTCCCGGGTGAACGTGTGGGTCTGAACTCGAAGGTCCTAGGCGGATGTCGAAAGTGATGTGGTATTACATGCAGCGGGGTGGATCGCTGCGAGTAGGATATCGATAGGATAATCGAGACGGGTTCCGAAGTGGATTTTCCGAGATTCGGGCTGCTCTGGTGAACATTCGAACGTTGAACAATAGTGATCCAACCACGCCGCACAAAAATAACCTAGGACGGATATGCTGCTCGGGCTTCGATGGCAATAAGATTTCTCGGACCTTCTGGAGATTTCGCTGCGAGTAGTACTTCAAGTGGCAACCGGGAATCTTACTTTATCTCAACCTGAGATGTTTTTTTTTTTTCAACTGTGGGTCCAACCTATCTCCATCGAACATACCACGTCAACAAACCCGTCATTCGAACCACTCCGTGGTCAGCCAAAAATAGTACCTCCGCGCGAACCAAAAATAAACGCATTTCGAACGAGGTACGCGAATTCGGGTTATGCTCGCTAGCTTATGTTGTGATCAGCGAGGGCGTCAGGGCTTACTTGTACAAATTCTCTGCAGTCGGCAAAGTTCCGTAAATACTCAAGTCGTTTTTCATCAAAGCCCAGGACTTGAACTTGAACTTGCCGGGCGCCTCAAATCGACAGACAACGCAGGCTCTGGAACCCACCGGTCGCTCATTGTATGTATGCATCAATGCATGTACGGTCTTTGAGCGGCCGCTCGGCCTTGACGCTGAAAACCGACGCAAAATATAAATATATAATCGGCACGTTCCTCGCTTTGGCTGTGCTGAAAAATATCTCGGGATGCTTCAATCACGTCTTTGTAGCTCAGTTGGTTGAGCGCTTCTTCATGATGGGAACTATCTGCGTGAGCTTGTAGGAAGTGGCGTGGGGTCGACTCCCACTGAAGACATATATCCGCTTTCTTTTACTTTTTTTTTTTGCTCTTCTCGTGGAACTCGGACCGAAAACGTTTCTCTAGTGCGTCTCCAGCATGTTCCAGATTAATACCAGGACTAGCACCGCCAAGCAGAATATTTTTCTTCCGTTCTGGCTGAGATAGAGTGTTCTAGTCAAGCGGATATCAGGCATGCAGCATGTAGCATTGCAACAATGGCGTACCTGGGTTGGCATTTTATTTTATAGACACTTCGCGAAAGGGGCGGGAAGCGATGAGTCGAGCCTCACTGAAGACGATGACCAAGTCGTTGAAATAATTTTAATGTAACTCTCCCTTGATCCTTTCGTTCAAACGATTATGTGTCTCGCGACAATAACAGCGCTTCGCGCGAATTCCAAGTCTGCAATGACTAGTGAGAGGTGCGATCTATTTTATAATGACGCGCGAAATGACCTATAATACCCCATTGTTGGTTGATTGTCTTTTTTCTGTCCCTCTTCGCCTGATCAGACCGTTCTCTGGTCTCTACCCCCTCTGTAAAAATTACCACATGTACATCCTTCCATCTCTGACTCCAGAATCACACATCGGATCTAGTGTTTCCTGCATAAAATCCAAAACATCTTATGTGTTAGTGTCGAGGCTTGAATCACCTACCCCACTTTCGATGGTGTTGGTTCACCTGCTCTTTTTTTAGGCCTCCCTCATGTTGAATCAATCTCGATTTCAAAAATTAAACTACAAGGGCCATATACTAGTATTCTCTGGACTCCTGTTGAATTCGGTACCCTCTGCATTTTCTCTTCCCGAATTACAAGTCGAACTTAAAACCACCTGGAATTTATTCATTCGGAGAAAAGCACAGGATACAGGACTCAGGACTCAGAACAATTCTGAGCCAACTTTTTCCGTGGACGCGATGGGGTCACGTTATCGTGTGTGAATGACAGGCACCGCCACTACCGACACGCTCTCAACGCCCATGTCCTCCCCGTTCGCCTCCAAGCTAGGGACCAACTACTGTCCTACGGACGAGGAGATGACAGAGATCCAATCTCTCATCGTCGAACCTGGCCTCCGATTGCAGCGTCTTGACGATGAAATCGCCGATTTGCAGAAGGCCATCGACAAACTTGCAGAAGAGCGTGCCAGCCTTGATGCCTACGTGGAGGCCCACAAGGCTCTCATTTCTCCAGTGCGGCGATTGCCACTCGACGTAATCCAGGAAATATTCGTGGCTTGCATTCCTACGCACCGAAACTGCGTTATGAGTGCCCGCGAGGCGCCTGTTCTCCTGGGCCGCATTTGCAGCTCGTGGAGAGCCATATCGCTCTCGACGCCCCGTCTTTGGGCCAGACTCCACGTTGTCGAGCCCATGCCCTCTGCTGATTCAATATCCACCTCTGTCGACGAGAAGCCGGCGCAGCGATTGGAGACGATGAAGATGTGGTTAGGTCGCTCAGGAGAATGCCCCTTGTCGATTTCGCTGCTCACCACCTTCCTTCGCATATCCACAGCTTCACCTACGTCTCCAGACCCTTTCATACAGGCGCTAATTCCATTCGCACCCCGCTGGCAGCATATTCATTTCACAGTCCCCTGCGAGTCGGTGCTCGAGCCGTTGTTGCACCTTGCTGCAACCGACGTACCCATGTTGCAGAGCGTCGCCTTCTACCCTAGTCGGCTACTCCACCGGCCTCTTGAATGGGGACGTTTCGGGATGCTGAGTGCTTCTCGAATCTCGAATTTCTCTATTCCGGCGAGCAGCTTTCGCCCCATAGAATTACCACTTCGATGGAACCAGTTGACGGTCCTGTCGATTACCAGTTCGCCGTCGAACATCGGGTCCTCCAGCGAGACGATCTTGAACACGATCTCCAAATGCCCCCTCCTTCGAAGTTGCAAACTGGTGGTTCAAGATGGGGCGACCACGGCAGTATGGCCGGACCGTCCCACTGTCGAATGCCCATTCCTGCACACGCTCAACCTAGTTTGCCCCGGTCTCGTGGCTTCTACTTTCTCGCTTCTTTTGCCTCGTCTTTCACTGCCTGAATTGCGCGACTTCACCCTTTCCGGGGGCTTGCGAAGTCCCAACGGGGTGATTGACGATTCCCCAGCCCTCGCCACGTTCTTAGCAGCTTCGACACAATTGGAGTTTCTCCAGATAGGAACCGATTCATTCTCGAAATCGTCTCTGCTTCAGGCCATCCGCGGCTTACCGCCTACGATGCAACACCTCCGACTGATCGACATTCGGATCCGGCAGGCGTCGATATCCTCTCTCGATGACGACGTCTTAGAAGCTCTCACCCCCTCACCCGGGCCCGCTGGCTTTTCCTGTCCAGCGCTACAGTCTCTCGTTATCCAAAGTGGCGTACTGATTTCACCCGCCGCCGTCCAGCGGTTTATAACCGCCCGAATGTCCGTTGAACCCCGCACTCCGCTGAAGCGTGTCAACATCCACTTTGCGAGAGACACGGATCTTGACATCCTACCCAGCATGCAGCCGTTCATCGAGGCGGGGCTCGAGGTCACCATCCAACATCCCCCGCCCCGCCCATCGCCATTTTCGCCCTGGGCCGGGTTGGTTGGCGATGCGCCATGACCGAGCTATCTGGTGAAACTAACCAGCCATTACGTTTTATTCGTTCCGAAGTCTGCATGCTATTACCGCGATGTCTTGTTTTTAGTGTCGAATTATCTAGGAAGGCTAGATGCTCTACATACAGTACAGTATGCAACTGTTTCGAACATTTCAAGCAGTCATTTGACCTAACACCCAGTTTCCCATTTTCTATAAGCTAACATATGCTCAGGAGCTCCTTATGCATGCGTCGAATTAAATTAGGTGGGCTCTCAGAAACAATTCCACCCAATGTGAACTTTAGGGATGGGGCGCTAGAGGATTAGAACAGACCTACTTCCGGAATCTGGATACGGGCAGGAAGAAATGGGCACCGTATTGTATCGGCCTAAGTTTGAATCACTGACGCGCACTTTCGATGAGGGATTCACCCGCTGTTTCCTGTCACCGGATCGCGCCGGAATATACTATACCTACCTACCCTATCTGCATTTCAACGACGTCAAAAGGCCGTGTATGTACTTATTGGTCGGTCTGGATTGGCCCTGTTGAATTACGTACCCCGAAATTCATTTTTCTTGAATATATATTTTTGGCCGGAACTGTTCAGTTGAACATTTGTACCAAGTCTGTATGCGCGTGCACAGATTATCTCTTTGCCAAAACCGACCACGAATGCAAACGTGAATGTAGCCCAAACAGATTTTTGGAGCTGTATGGGTATCTACTCGCCACTAAACGAAAATAATTGAAGCACCCCAAAAATCGCACGCGACCGAAAAATGCGTGCATCCAGTGCTGCTTTATCCCGAATACCCACCCCTATCTGCTCTGGAATCCTGTAACTCCCACTCATTCCCCACGCGGCACCACAGCTTCCTCGGTGCAAGCCCGACGACGCGCAGACGCGGGCACGGGCTCGCCCACGGGGCGAGGAATACACGACACTGCGTATCGGCGCGGCGCGGCGCAGCACGTCCGCATCTCAGGCGCGGGACGCGCCCATGTAATCGCTGTACCCATGGTACTGCTGTCTTCACGGTGCCGGCGCGCTGCGCGCGGGGTGCAGCACGAGCGTGTACAGCGTGGAAGGCAGAGGGAGGCGGAGGAGGATGTCCTGCATGCACAAGGCAGTTTGACTGGGATTTGAATTTGCAAAGTTTGAAGGAAGGGAAGGAGGGAAGGAAAGGACCAAGGAGCAAGGAGGACGCACGGGGGCGGGGGCGCCGTAGCGATATATGAGGCAGATGTGCTCGGGATGGGGGAAGCCGTGCGCGAGGGCGCGTAGGACGCCAGTCGGTGAGCGCGAGCGCAACGCTGCGGATTGCGTCGCTATTCAGCGCGTTGAGCAGCTCCAGGGTGGGCGCGGGGGCGAGTGGATCGCCCACGGCGAGCTCGGGCGCGTACGTGAGGACGTGCAGAGCCGGTGGGACCCGGAGAACGCGCGCAGCGAGGCGGGGACGGTACCCTCCATTGCGGTGATATTGACGGCGTCCGCCGCTTGGGACGGTAGCCCGCCGACATCGAGGCGGACGAGATGGGGGGCACACACTGCAATGTCTGGGAGAACCACTCCTGAGATAATTAATTTAAACCAATATTTGCCTTGCTTTCCCTGCTTCCGAAAAAACCCAAACAAATCCGCGATGTCCCCGCATCGTTGTGGGACGGTGTCAGATTTTTGGGGTTGTCACGGTCCAACATGGCCCGTATCGAAGTGTCAAACATGTTCAACATGTCATGTGTCACCCCCCTGTCGAATTGAATGTAATAGTACAGTATGTAGTGATAAGCTGGCCCTGTGTGCAGGCATGAAAGCACCATTAAAGGGTTGATTTTGGCGATTTCCAGGATATTTCTTGGAAGTGGTTGAAACACGAATCACGGGCACGTGGTTGATGGGAACAACGTGCACTGGTCTGTGGCGCGTCGAGAAGGAGACGTGTTGGAAGGCAACGGGAACACGTTGCCTCTGAACAATAGTTGTTTGTAGCTGGCTGTGCAGCCAAAACAGTGTAGGTATAAAAGCCCAGTGTAAACTCGATAGAGAGGGAGAATGACACCCCCACTTTAACACCTCTTCTTTAACTTTCTTAACGTTTTCTTTGGCCTGCGACCTGTGCAACCAGAACCCTGTACGCCAATGGATAGACTGCTCGCCTCTGACGCGTGCAGACCCAGTGCAGGATCGATCTGGATCACAACGTTTACGGCTATATTGGTTTTCTTGGTTGGGATTGTTTGGATATTGGAAGAGCAGTTTGGGATTGGAGTTGGAGTTGGTATTCGGTTTGGGTTATGGTTGGTGGAGAGGTTTACTCGATGGATTCGATGGCGAGGATGGAGGAAGAAGAAGCGTTGGAAGGATATTTTGGTTCGCATCACCCTCGGCAGTGCGCTGGCCGCACTGTCACACGTGTATCATCGA